AGTAATTTTCACAGTTACGGCTGTGAGCAGCTCAAATCTTACAGAATATTCTGTCATGTACGTTTATTTGGCCGGTCACTGTAGCCTAGCGGTCTAAGGCATGTACTGTCTTCGCTCGCTTGGAAACCGGGATCGTGGGTTCGAATCCAACTCAGGGTATGGATGTTTAGTTTGTGTGTGTGTGTGCGTTTTTCTGTGTTTGTGTACAGGTAGAGGCCTTGCGACGAGCTGATCACCCGCCCAAGGAGTCCTACCGAGTGTGTAAGATTTAGAAAAACCGAAAGTTCGTGGAGGTAGGCCTAGGCCCACTGGGGCTGTAGTGCCAAACAAAGAAGAAGGAAGTACGTTTATTTATAGGTTACGTATACTCGTAAACCTGTAAGTTACGCCAATCATTAAAACATGAAGCGTAAAGAAGAAACTTACTACAAATCTGAAGAGCAAACTAAAATTGAGGTGCTCTCAGCAATTACACAGTTTACATTGCATTCATAATGATTGTCACCATCATAGAATGAAACCAGTTTTCTGAATCGCTCACATGTACAGACTCAGATAAAACTGACGTAACTACTATTTGTGTATTTGTAGCTCTGCTTACTGGTTGGTATTTCTGGTTAGAGAGGTTCGGAATTCGAATCCAAAAATCTCTCGATCCTTTCCACAGAATCGAATGCAAACTGCAGGAATAATTTTAAATTCGCTAATAGCTTTTCGTTCTACAATGACTATTTAAAGCCGTATGCTATGAATTTTGTGTCGTTAGATAAATCAAGAAGCACATTAATTAATTAGGAAGAGGATACGGGTACGGAATTTTTAATTTGCCCTATACAAATAATTTACCCCATCCCAATAGGTTAGCTATAAGCTAAAATATAAAGTGAGAAAATGGAGGTGCAGTAATGGTGGTATTAGTAGTGATAGTTAACAGTAACTGAAGATTTAAACAATGTAAGTAATTTGTATGTACGTGTATTTTAGTTCGTTTGCATGTATTGATCCCATGTATCACAAAAATTTGCAGCTTTAATGTTGCAGGCATGTATTCGGGAAATTATCTCTTACAATTTCGGTTGGGTCGTTAGCTACCCTGACAGTCTTTTCATTGTTTTCCTCAGTCCATCCAGGTAAAAGTAAAAGTTCATCGTTACCATTACATTCTGATCGGTCTGTTTTCTTTTGACGTTTAGTGTAAAATATGTTGAAAATTAATCCATTTTACATAACGGTTTATTAAAACACCGAGACATGTTATAAGCAAAGTTTATGGAAGTTATATTTATTATCTATATTGATGGTGAGATGTTAAAACTTATAGGTTACAGAGAGTACAAAATGAGTCAACAGGATATCCAAATTTATATGTATTACGGTGTGAAAACACAGGTGCTTCAAATTTTATATAAATATCTGACTATAACGTCCTCTTCCGGGGCTGTTTGCTGCGTGTGGCTCTGTTGTATCAAACGGGTGAGGGCCTGTTGTTGTCTCCTTCGTCCTTTGGGCACCGTATCTCTAACTGCAGTTTCAAGTCAGGACTGGAATCCTGCTCTGCGTAAGTCCAAGTTGCAGTTTCATCTTCATTTTCATCATATGATGGCGTGTTCAACGGGCTCCAGTTCCTTTCAGCATTTTATATCTACCTGGAATGTTAGGTCAAGGTGTTCTTCATCAACTTCGTCGCCATTCTGGAAGAGTCTGTGGCAATTTCCTTTGTTGCAGTGGCTGCAGGAATAGTAGAACCTACTGCAATAACTCAGGTCTCTGTAGAAGCCACAAGGAATCTGAGTGTTGTCACTCCTATGAGGGCATTTTCTTCTATAATCTGTACCTGCTTGAAGTGACATTGATTACTCATCCTTGCTAAACTGTGCAAAGCTTCTGATCTTTCGTAGTTACTGATTCTAGTCAAGATTTCCTGTCAGAGAGGCAAGTGAAATATGATCTGTGTACTCTTTATTTGCCATTTATATAACACCAGGCCCCTGAGTCAATGTTGACATTGATTTTCTTAATGCAGTGCAAAATGTATTTCATTCAATGGCTTTGCTGCCAATGATGTCTGGACATGTTGATGCATTTAGTACGTAAGTGTATTTTATTAATGGAAGTTCAATCCTGTCTAGGATGAAGAGTATCCACTGATTCGCAAGAGTTCAAAACGCATGTTCATCCACATTTTCTCTTCTAATCCACCTCATTCTCACGAGTCAGAATGCGATGAATTTCGTCGATGATTTCCACTGTGATGCAGGCACTTTAATAGCGAACGTTCGGAAGCACGTCGCTGAGGAAAAGGGGTCAATAACTTACAGACCTCATGGGGCGAATTTGGCTACAGATTATGTCCATCGTTGAGGGCGATTCAGGAAGAGTTGAATTATATTCTACAAGGCATTACATCCCAGTATCTTTATGTTTTGAGTTTGCATGAGACCACATGTTCTGTTTCGTCCTTTGACCACAAGAGACAATAACAGGACAGTGAAAACGTAGCTCTGAAGAGAACATTTCGTAATTTGGAGAGACAGACTTGCTGCGCGATGCTGGAGTACACAACCAGGAACTTCAGTGTGCAAGTGCATATGTCAAGCAATATTAAGGTTTTGCCTCATAAATTTGAGAGACTGTAATGTTGGTATTACTAATGGAAGTGACCTACGAATTACGCCATTGAGATGGGCTCAAATGCGATGATATATACGTGTATATATATATATACCAAGTTTAATAAAGATTTTTTCAGGCATTCCAAAGTTAATAGAAGGGGATTCACAGAGATACAGACAGCATTGGGATCGTACAAGCCTACTATCATTTATTAACACAAGGAAAGCATGCTAAAAGTAGTGAAATGGAAGTTCCGCAAATTTAAAAAATACAGTACTTTGATGTTCTCTTTGGCGGTTTACTTTCTTGTGTAATGCCTTCTAAATCATACACAGATCACTTTTTTCCTCTCTGGCCACCTCCAGTTCGATTAAAGTTGCAAGCAATATGGGCTTTTGCTCTGCATTCATCACTCCTATTAGCAACTCCGGGAAAGCGCCCGCTCATGGAGTTCACAGCGACGTCACCAACCTAAACAGAGAACGTCTGTCTTATTGTATTTGGTGCATTTGAAAATAATGGTTCATTGCTATCTGATGATAGAATCATCGTCTATAATGATAATGATCATTTATTACAGACTCAATAACGGAACTTTCGTACAACTAAGTGTAAATCAGCGGCAGTCCTATATATTGCACAGTAGAAAACTATGTTAATCTATATAGAGGGCGTACAAAATGGAATTGCGTGATTTCAGACACTTGCAACTCAGGAATGAGAACAGATATGACAATGGTGGTACTTGCAGTGTAATTGTAAACTCAAACAAGTTCACTGACACAAGTTGCGCGCCCATCCCAACTGTAGTTAACGGACAGCAGTTTTGATTACGTGTTCAGCGCGAGCAGTACAATGTCTACGGTACAGCAGAGAGCACAGACCGTGTTTTGGAACACAAAATTTGAATCCAATGTTCCAGTTCGATGTGAATTTGGTCGTAAGCATGTTGTGGGACCACCTCATAACAAGAGTATTTGGAGATGGTAAAGCAATTTAGAGAGTCTGGCAGTGTGAACACACACACATTCTAAGAGTGCGGATTAGGAGATCAGATGAAGATGTGGGTCGTGTTAGGCAGGCTTTCATACGGAGTCCGAAGATGCCGATCTCTCGAGGAAGTGCAAAGTTACCGATGGCTGCAAATGATTGCCCACAGAATTCTTCGCAAGAAGTTACCTCTAAAACCGTACTGATTACAACTAGTTCAGAAACTTACATTGCGTGACAAATAGCTTACATAGCAGCTTACGGCACGCATGCGCGCACAATTTTTGGAATATGATAATTTCTTAAAACAGATTTGCAGTAGGAAAAATGGAGAAGTAACATACTGAAATTATGATGCTCTGGAATACAACGCTGTCTAATCTGTCCCAGAGGACGAAAATATTAATATTCAGTCTTTTGAGAACCTCAAATGTCCTAAACTGGAAAGATATACTGAAATAGACTATCCATACATTACAAATTGGTTTCTTGGCATTTTGCATGCCTCAATGTCATCGATGCTCGTTTGCTGAAGATCTAAATATACTGTATTAGAGATAATTGACTACTGTACAGAGAATTAATTTTTGTATGGTTTTCATATTACAATCACCATACCGAAAAATGTTCAAGCAAAAGCTCCAAACATAATAGAATTTGGAAATTATGTCTTACTATGTAAATACCTAATGATTTTCGTAAGATGAACCATTTTTAGAAATATGATAATTTTCTACCTAGCTTCCATGCAAAATAGTGGGAAGGTCAGAATTAAAGTCACACAGACTTTAATGTGGGCCCAAATACAAAATTGTATAAAAGTTTTCTGTAACTTATGACGGAGACCTAGACGGATTTTTAAGGTGAGTAATTTTTTAGAAATCTTACAAATATTAGTTCAAATTTCATAGAAAAATGGGCGGTGCACAAAACTTATAGTCATACAGATTTTAATGTCAGGCGGAATAGGAAATCGTAACGCAGGTTTTTTATGACTTAAGACGTAAGATCCTATTAATTTTTGTAATGTGAGCATTTGGGGGGGGGGGAATCCGACAAATTCCAATTTATTTTTCGTGTAAAGTGGGAGGTGCGCCAAAATTAAGGTAATTCAGCTTACATGTATTCTGTCGGTTTAATTTTGAAATTTTAACAAAACTATTTGTAAACTCTTCTGTATACCTCTATTAATTGCTGTAAAAAGAGCCATTTTTTTAATTTTATAAATTTTTATGCTGATTTCGTGTAAAATGGATGTTGCACCAAAATTAAGAGATTTTAGTGACGACCCCAATATCAAATTTTGACATAACTGATTGAAAGTTTTCGATACAACTTCCCAATATGCGTTCGTTTTGACACTTGTTCTGTATTCGTGTAACACGACTGTGTTGCAGACTGACACAATGCGCTGCAGTTTATCGCTGGTGCAGTCAAGATGATGTCCAAGAAGCAGTGGTTGGCGCTCCTCACGCTGTTCATCTTGTACGTTCTGTTGGGCGCTGCTCTCTTCCACCACATCGAAAGCAACCTGGAGGTGGAACGACGCGTACAGGAGCGCCATGAGCGGCTCGAGATACAGGGTGAGCGGCTCAGTGGGCTTAGTGACTTCTAACCATTTCCTCAAAAAGATGCAGCCCTTAAAATGTTTCTAGTCTTATGCAGTAGGCTAACAAGAATTATGAACCTGACATCAGTGTGTCAGCGTGTACACTCTTTCAGATGACTGAGCCAAGCATTTTTATATCATAAATCCCATTAGTGTCACGACTAAATCGGCAGCCAGCGCTTTAAGAGCGGGAGATCAGTTCAGTAAAACTACCCCGGGGGTAAAGCGACGGGGAGTGAATCTCACCACTCACCTCCAGGGAGTGCCGAGGTCAAGAAAATGTTGATCTATACATCCACTCCCCCATACACCTTCATGGAGTAGTGCTTAATTGATTAAGAAAAGGGACAATTTTACCTTTTTTATATATATGTAATAATAAGTCTGATCGGGGCTAATATAATTAACAGATTTTCAAAATTAGAATAGCACTGCAATTTTACACGAATTCAGTCACCATTTTACACTGCTTTTGCATCACCTGATAATAGACTCTCTGGGACGAAGTGTGTTGTGTTTGTGTGAGGGTAACCTCTGCATTTTATGTGCAACCAGTGAGCTGTTAGAATTACACATGACATGCGTATCTAATGACATCGCAGTTTGTAGGTACTGATTCAAGGTGTGAAGGAACGCTAAGCGCAATCATTAGCAGGTCATTAGCTGTCCGCATTCTAAGCTGCTGATAAGCTGACACTCAAGATAACAGACTTTATCTGTCTCAGTGAATATGGACACAACGGAATTACTGAAGCACACCTTTGGAAAAATTTTATTTGTAAAGCTTTAATAGTGTTGTTCGAATCTTAAGAGGACAGCATGTGTGAAGGAAAACAGAAAGAGATGGAATTGCTTATTTTGTCATTGTAATCTTGTCAGTCACGTCACAGATCATGTAAGAGAGCAGTTGCCTAGAAGTTGGAAGATGCTGTAAGTTACTGAAATTAAAAAATTATAGAGTAAAATTGGATAATGTTCAGTCCAGTGTGACATACAAGTCTACAACACTTCAGTCCTCATTCACCTTACATGCTTCGATTCAAAAGAATCATCCCCAGAGGCGCACCACTACGATCAGGAAACACTGTCACATAAGATATTAACAATACGCACTTAAGCTATGAATAATGCTCACTATATAAATTTTGTTATCATCACGGTTGTCTTAGGCACTCACAATGGCGCTTCTTGAAGTGTAGATTTACGTACGATGATGTTTCTTTTAAATGTATTTCCTGGTGGAAAACCCCAGTTAGAATAACCAGGAAATAGATTTAAAAGAAACATCATCATACGTAAATCTACACTTCAGGAAGCGCCATTGTGAGTGCCTAAGTGATAATAACAAAATTTATATAGTGAGCATTATTCATAGCTTAAGTGTATATTTGATTTGTTTCATTCTGGTCCCTCACACTAACAATTACAAGTGCAATTTGTAAGTGCGTATTGTTAATATCTTATGTGACAGTGTTTCCTGATCGTAGTGGTGCGCCTCTGGGGATGATTCTTTTGAATCGAAGCATGTAAGGTGAATGAGGACTGAAGTGTTGTAGACTTGTATGTCACACTGGACTGAACATTATCCAGTTTTACTCTGTAATTAATAGTGTGACGGACCAGAATGAGACAAATTAAATTAAAAAATTATACTTAACCTGACTTAAAAATAAGTTTCTCTTTTCTCTGTAATTTGATCCACATGTTACAAGGTCTTCGTAAATGATCGTCATGCTGTATCAACGAATATTAATTATTTAAGATAAATTCGATGGACATTTCATCTAATATGGCCTAACAATTGGAAATATTTTTTTTTCCGGATTTTATCAGAATAATTCAATTTCGTAATTCTCAGGGGTTCTGATTAATTTTATGATGGACAAGCCGTATTGAGAAACCCATATGATTTATTGAATAAAGACGTAGGAAATCTTGATTTAAGATGGCATTATATTAAAAGTGACCCATTGCACAATTACTTCACGATTTTGAGACATGTTAAGTTCTGTCGCTGAACCTTCATTTTTGTTTCGAGGGCCGTGTCCGCTCCACGAATCCTGATCTGCTCCAACACTGCGTTAAATACCGGGTTTTGTACCTTATCTTATTTTACATACGATTGAGAGAATTGCTGTATTTATACCGTTGTGATTAAATAGTCTACAAAAAACAAAGAAAACAAAATCCGTGGCTTGAGTCCGCAAGCGAACTGTACCGACCGAGCGACCGCCGCTTGTCGGCGAAGTTTGTACCAACTTTAGCGGATAGAGGGTGATGCGTGGTCAGCGCAACGAATCCCCACGGCCGTTAATTTCGATTTTTATATACCGGAGCCGTTAATTTTCCATTCAAGTAGATCCTCAATTATCCTCACGAGGCTGAGTGGACCCAGTTCCAGACCCACTACTTCTCACAAAATCTGGTAGCGCCAAGAATCGAACTCAGGACCTCTGGAACTGTATCCAGAAATGCTGACCATTAGGCCACAGAGGCGGTCTTCTTCTGTAATTAAGCCAGAGAAATGAAATGCGTGACGCGATAGATGGTCTCAAACAAGTTTGTAACTGCGAACCATCTGTCATATAAACAAATCCATTGTTCCATGTGTCTGAGGAAAAATGTTTCATATAAAATGTAGAATTATTCATTCTTATTTAAACAACTGTTGCACTGTCATTTCTGTGTTGGAATATACTCGTAAATCAGTCAGATATCTTGCCGCATCGGGTTGCCTAGCAACGCGACACCGCAGAGGTTTAACTCTTGTCAATATTATTGATTATAGCGAGTTAACACCCAATAATTAACACCTTAAATTAGCCTTGAAACGTTTGAGCTCGTTTAAAAGTGACGCTTTTGTTAATTAAATTAACGATGGACATTTCTATTGACTGAAAATTCATGTGAGTCTATCTTACTTACAGCTTCTTGGTAAAAATATTAACATAAACTTGCTCGTGACAGAGAGATAAAAGATCTTTCTGAATGCTTACAGACAGGGTTCCATAAATATGTTTCGTGAAGAGCACAGTGTCAGGCAAAATGTTATACTGCAGTATCTTGTTGCTTTGTGTATTCTAAAATAGGATTCGCGCTTTTAATCGTCCTTCTGCAACTTTGCTGGTGTATTCAAATTCGCACTCCAAAAGCATTCGTCTCTTCCTATTATTAGAACACTACATGTTTCGACCCAATTGGCTGCCATCATTAGGTGTACAATTTGTGGAGGAAACTGCTGTCCCCTTGTCGAGCTGCTATACTTTGCATTTTATGGTATAAATACTCGTACTTAAAAACGTTATTGTTGAAATATCATCCAGTGATTATTTATCATCATTGTCAAACAGCAACACGCAGCACCAAATAAAAACCAACACACCAATAAATTATTATCCAGATCCACAACATGTGCATACACATTTGTTTTACGGTTTTAATATTTATTTATCTCATATTCGGAGGAAGTGGACTTGAGACAAGTCAAGATGTCCTTTACAAGAGATGGAGGAGGAACAGAAATGTTCGGGCCACAAGTCCCACATGGATTAACCTTGGTTTAAGCCCAGTTTTCTGCGGTGAGAATCCGGCGACTAAAGCTTTAAGTTAAGGTACGAGCATATGAGAGATTGTTCTATGGGGTATTACTGTGCTTCCGCTAAGGAAAGCAAAGAGTAGTTCAAGAGACGAAGTAAACATGCTTACTGGAAGATGCATGGCAAACCCTACCGATCGTCCCACGCTTAGTTTGCTGTCCCTTCGCTCCCCTTGCTCTATCATCTCTCCCCATTTGCTTCACCGTCCAAAGAAATGGCTGGATTACTCGTTCAGCAGGGTTTGGCGATAGGCGCCAGCAGTCAGGCTAAAATTGTAGAGTGGGGATCAGTCCTTCCCCCATAGCAACTCCTATCCCCACATCCCGTGAGAATTCTTTGGCCAGCTCAACTACTGCAACCGATAACATACAAATATTTTTTGGGGACCTATAATTAGGCTTAGAAACGTGTCCGTATTTTAATTGCAAATAAAATGTCTTGTAATGAGGAAAGCAATTGGTTATTCATTCATTCATCAGTAATCTGTCAGACGACAGGTCCACAGTCTCTTCCAAAACGGTTCCTCCATTTAATGTGATCTAGAGCTTTCTCCTTCAAATAAAAATATCCTCTTCTTTCCCTAAGATCATCCAGCATCTTCTTACGTCTTTTTCCTCGTCTTCTGGTCACTTCTATCCGCCCCTCTCTCGCATACATGGTATCTCTGTTTTTTGAATGAGATTATCCAGGAAAAGTGATAATGTAGTTTTTCCATTTGTTTTCCACATCGCAGTACAACAGCCGTTCAAACCACTCTGGTCACGCCTGTTGCTATACGAACTTGAACCATCTCGACCATCATTTGCTCTGTGCTTCAAGTCGCTGCTGATGACGCTGCTTCCGGCATCAGTTTTTGGTGTTTGGTGTCTCTCTTCGTCTGATGCCTACCCTTTGACCTGTCCAGCAAAGGAGGCCACGCCAGTAGCTACGCTACCGCTGGTATAGCTCTCAGGGTCCTTGGCATACTAAAACCCCCTCACCACGATAAGGTGAAGACACCAAAGAGGAGGAATTAGTTATTATAGAATACAAAGTACGGTCTTAGCAGGCGTTCCTGAAATATTCATTCAAACCATTGCTCATAATATAAGGATACAGTATATAAGTCGTATTATTTTTCAAGCTCTTGGAAATAGTCCAACATAGTACTTTTCATAACGGAAGTAAAAGATAAAAACTTAAAAATTCAATTAAAATTGATTTGTGAGTGCACTGGTAAATTTCCCAGAAGGTATACTTATAAATCGCATGCATTTTTAACTGAATCATGACACGTAATATAATCAGATGCTTGTAGCAGAAGCTTCCTGCCAATGTTTCCTCTTCTCTGCCACTTACAGAAGTTGCTGAAAGAACAATTAACGGCCTCAACCACAAGATACCACAGTAATACCTTGAAATAGAGTGCTCTTTCAATAAAATTTGGGATTCAGGTCTAATCAGAAAGCTCCATGATAACATAGTCCCAGCTTAAATGATCAAGTGCTTAAACAGCTATACTTTAAAAATCTTAGATCTAAACGAGTAATTATATTTGCTTTTCCGCTGTCTACCGGCCTTGATCAGGTCTAATCAGAAAGCTCCATGATAACATAGTCCCAGCTTAAATGATCAAGTGCTTAAACAGCTATACTTTAAAAATCTTAGGTCTAAACGAGTAATTATATTTGCTTTCCCGCTGTCTACTGGCCCTGATTTAGGCCTGGCCTTTGGACTGAGCATGAGGAAACGTGGAAAATACGATAAGTAGTGAGGAAAGTTGCGACGGCATTGGGGTAGGGAAAGAGGACCGTGCACTGAACTATTTAAACCCTTACATACCCTACAACCTCTACACTGTCCAACTTGATGAGTTGAATCATGCCCAAAAACGAGGGCAGTATATTGTATTCTTTATTGTTTACATTAGCGGCCTGCTAGACGAACATAAGTTAAACATAAAAAAAAAACAAAAAAACTCCGTTGTTTTGGTCTACAAACGTCCTATACCGACCGAGCGACCACCGCTTGTTGGCGAAGTTAGTTGCAACTTTAGCGGATAGAGGGTGTCGCGTGGTCAGCGCAACGAATCCCCACTGCCGTTAATTTCAGCTTTCTAGACCGTAGCCGCAACTTCCTTGAAATAGCTCCTCAGTTATCCTCACGTTGCTGAGTGGACCCCGTTCCAGACACACTACTCCTCAGAAAGTCTAGTAGCGACGGGAATCGAACCCAGACCTCTAGATCTGTCGCTAGGAACTCTGACCGCTAGACCACATAGGCGGTCAAGTTAAACATATATCCTACATTAAATTTAGCTGAAGGTTTCAGACCAAATGTGGCCTATGAGAAACTGCAATGTACTCAAAATTTGGTTCACTAAACAGCGTATTATGTTTAACATCTAAAAATTCGGGAAAATAATGCCTAAATTGGTGCTCACTGGAGGCTTTCGATTGGACCAGGATTCAATAGCCTCAAATTAGCGTGGAAAATACAGGTGCTTCATTAGGCAGTAAACTGATACCTGAAACACACGCGATTTCATTATCCTTCATCCAGTTCTTGTCTTTCAATTATTCGTATTAGAAAACCTTCTTCGTTATCGTACACCTTTATCAACGCAAATAAATTGATAAATAGGACAGTCATTGCCTCGGGTGGATTGAATGCTCTAATAGGCCATATATTTCTATTAGAATCTGTCTTCCATATAAAATTTTAGTCAGACTCTTTTAGCCCGTCTGATGCCTAAACCTGAAAGCGGACAGGCACGAAAGTTGAATACTGTGTTGCAATGTTATAAAACATTGTAATACGCATCGACTGTCACTTGTAGCAGTTCGTCGAAGGATTTTTTTGCTACTAGGCTCGCTGGTTGACCACTACAGAACCAAGATGAAACCCGTGCAAAATCTTATCTCTGCTGAGAATCCTGTGGGATTTCCACTACACGAACACCACAGTATGGCGGTCATATTTGCTCAGTACGCGGTGGTCAAACTTATGTAAAGTCCCTCCTCTGTTGGCAGCCCTGTTGACTGCTCACTACGTGGGGGACTCCACTAGCACCCAGGCGCACATCATGCAGAAACTCTCTGAGTACTGCGGGCGGCCTATGTTCGCGCCTCACAACGGCAGCGATGTGGAAGATTTTGAGCCATTCTTATGGGACTTCTACAACTCCGTGTTCTTCGTCATCACCGTCGTGAGTACAATAGGTACGCTTCCCTCTGCTGGGAGAAGTGTGCTGGGCATCTTTTAAAATTGGTAGAGTAATATGTCAGACTATCAGATGACGCCTTCTGGCTAAGGAGACATGGAATCAGACACAAGGATAATTTTGTGGGACAGTGCAGAACTAATCCAGCGTTTTCCCTCATAACTGTCGTTCTGCCTGTGTAACAAAACTTATCAGATTTTAGCTGAGCTTCAACCTCCGGATCAGGAAGTCACAGCAAGAATTTTTCTATCCTAACATTCGATTGAGTTTTAGGTTTCCTGAATTAAACTCGGACACAAGAGTGACGGAAGAAATTTCCATATTCATACTCAAATTCTGAAACGCTGTTGCTATTCATTTTGGGATTTCAAATCCCACATTGGTTGTGGTAACACTTAAAATATTTAGTCCAGATTTATATAATCCGTATTTTATTTGGAGTTCAGCTATTTTAATGAGCTATACACAAAAAATGGTGAAATTATTAGGAATAAGAAATAAAAAAGACAGACATATACGAGTAAGAGCATTTGAAAAAAAAAACATTTTTTTCAAGTATCGAATTTGCGACATTCCTTCTACTTTATTTCTTCGGAGCAACGTGTTAACACTGTTCTGTATTTCAGGTTACGGAAACTTGGCGCCCTCCTCCTCTCTGGGCCGTATGCTCATGATCCTGTATGCTCTGATTGGGATCCCAATGAACGGGATTATGCTGGCCACCCTGGCGGAATTCTTCAGCACCGCGGTGAGTTGGCTCATGCGAGTTTCATTTAACTCTTTGTAATAACGAACATGCAGACCTTACAAACAATTTTAATATAGCATTAACTTAGAGGCACGAGGAGGGCGCAGCCGCCCGGGTTCAATCCTGGGTCTGGTCAAGTTGGATTTGTGGTGGCCAAAGTGGCGCTGGGGCAGGTTTTCTCCAAGTACTTCGGTTTCCCCTGCCAATCTTCATTCTACCAATTGCTCCACAATCACTCTCACCTATCATCTGGGGCTGGTACAATAGGCCAGAAGTACAAGAAACTTAGTTCCACCCCACTAGCAAAAAAAAATATAGGCAGGAGGATCTACGTACATAAGACGATATTACAGAAGATGGATTGCATTATTCACAAGTGGCAATTAAATTAATTCAGTATTAAAATGGTGGCACCTCCCCCTCGGAGTTTTTTTAAATGGTGATACTGCTTCTTCGGCCCATCCCAACTCTTGCTCAAGCTAAATAAAGAAATAACAAAAAATGTTCGTAATCAAAATGTAGAGTCTACCGGGGCTATCAAGCCAGAACATTTTCAGATGTCGATGCTATGCAGTTCTTCTCTTGTAATATACGGGAATGTAAAAGAATTTCCATATTAAGATGAGCATAAAACTTACACGAAGTGTACCACTTTTTTTTATTTATTAACCGTACAGCACGACATGTTTCCGATTCAAGTAGCCATCTTCAGGGGCAACTAATTCTTAAGAAAAAGTTACGTAATTTGCTTAAAATATTTTAAAATGTGGATCATTTAAATTAAATATAATTTAAATTCTTATAAAATTAAAATTAATAATATTGTCACGTGTATGTGTGATTACAGACGGGGTTTGGATTGATGACTCAGTTTACTGACCGCTTATACATACGACTCGGAACTACAAACAATTACAGCGTCACCGTTAATCTCCACATTTCACAAATTACCACACCACCAGCTAAACCTTTTTCAGCCTGCTGTGACTTTCTGATGCAGCGGGAACATGTTTACCGAGCTGTTGCCAAGAAACTTGTTGTATATCCCCGCTTATTAAGAATCTGTTGCCCTAGCAACGGGTGTTGTTTCGGGACCGTTACCCAGCAACGGATCTACACTCTACAATATCCAATATATAGTTAAACATATTCTTTGTAAACTGCTACATCTGCTCCAGTGGGAAGAACGTTTTCAAGAATGAAATTCTATGGTCGCACGCGAAAAGTCTTCTAAGCGTTGTCAAGCTTGCTTCTCTTTTGGGAATTAAAGTCAACTTCTAGAAAGAGTGTTTGGAATTTTACACCAAATTACAGAGTAAAAAGTCAGTACTGAAGAAGACACCTTTTTTTCAGAGAAGTATCACTGATGTGGAACTAAACAATGACAATAACAGTAACAATAACATGAACAAGAACAGTAAGAAGAAGAACAACAGCAACAGGAGTAGAAAGAAGTTAAAAGTGACACCGAGAAGAATTTCTTTCTTGATCTAGTTTTAAGGAAGATCTGTGATCAGTTTTTAGCATGTACACATGCCCCTCTATTCCCCCTTACATTTCGTCTAATCCGCCCTCTCTTTTATCTTTAACCGTCCCGGATTTTCCTTCGAAATTTAAGGCCAACTTTTGTATATAAATTATACAATACTCAGTAGTCAGTGTTCAATAATATTACATCAATTTTGAGGTTCTTACGGCAGTAACTATTCAAATTGTGGTCTTCTGAAATGTGAAAACGTGTAGTTCAACAAAAATGTACGGTGTCACAACTCAAGCCCACAAGCAGAGCATAGTATGGTAATAAACGCGGGTAGAAGCTTCACTTTGAGGAAGCTGTTTTTGGTGCTTTAAAATATTGTGACGTGTATATCTATTGCTAAGCAATGGCTCGGTAAAGAAGCCTCAACACTAGATATACTATTTTCTATGGGGTCCGCGCCGCGATTATTGGTAGGCCATGCTTCGGTAAACACACCTCAACAATAGAGACTGTTTTCTGCGTGGTCCGTGCCGAGGAGTTATCTTGAAGAAAATCGGCGCTACAAGGCAGTTCAGGATTCAGTTGTGGAGTATTAAACATCGGGAAACGGAGGCTGAAGAATTTTACCTGTGTGAAGGTAGGGTCGAATACCTCCACCGTAACCCTGCGAGTCGTAGGAGGCGACGAAAAGGGAAGTCTCAAATCTGATAGAGTAAGATATGGTCGCGAGTCCCAAGGGACTCGGACCCGAGAAAGACTGCGCTGGCAGCAACATATACAAAAGATAGACCCGTCCTCTTCTCAGAGAGGGCACCCCGCAATAACAAGACCGTAACTGTGAAACAGTAATAGGTATCTGGTCGACACCAAGACTTACTGACTGACTGACTGACTGACTGACTGACCGACAGTCAGCCGCCACATGACTTTGGATATGGCTCTGAAGAATCTCCATCGTTACCAGGAAACGTCTAGTGAAAACACTGCAGATGAATAGCCATTGTGGCGAGCTGTTACCACGCAAAGCCTTAATGTGGAGTGATTGTAGTGTGGAAATCGGCAATAGTGTATTTGTAGTTACGACCTGTAAGTCTCTTCACAAATCCAAACCCCTTCTATAGTCACTAATACACATGACAATATCATAGCTCTCGTTCCTAACAATGCAGGAACAAATTCATGATTCTGCAGCATAACAATTTTCGTTGCTTATTTGCTGGTCATTCATCCTGGCCTTTTCTCTTGAATTGGAGCGTCTGTGTGGATCTGAAAAGTCAGTAGTAAAAGAAAATGATTTTGCATGTCATGAGATATTGAAGTGCTTATGTATTAGTGTGGTGTCACGTGGAAACACTGAAAGACACTATTTGTTTACCAGTCCGAAACAAAACATTGCAGCTGGTCCGCGTCCACCTGCGCTACAAGACAAAGCCTTCTGAGACTCGAGCCGGTATGGTGGCCGATATTATTCTGTACCTGATACCTGGTTTCGTCATTTTTATCTTCTTGCCCACTGGCGTCTTCATGCACTTCGAGGGCTGGACCTTCGTCGAGAGCCTTTACTACGCCTTCGTCACACTCACCACGATCGGCTTCGGCGACTTCGTAGCAGGTAATGAGGTTTACGGCTTCGAATAAAATTGAGTGTGATTCACGACTGGAGAAATGGGATCTGTTTTACGAACAACGAGAATACACGAGCCCATACAAGGACGCACACATGCGTACATATATACACAACAAACAAACAAGCCAAATGACAGTTGAATTTCAGTGGGGAATTATAAGAGTTTTGTTCTTCGTAGCACGTCTGTAAAGTTGTCGGTATGATTAATTAGCACGCCATTAAAACATATGGATGACTGAAAATATAGCTCCACGCATTTATGTCGTCTTTAGCAGATGAGATGAATGGTCAACTTCGGCCCTTTTACTTTCTGGGGAAGAGACTCCGATACCCATTACGGACCAGGCTGGGTGAGCCCCAGAACCGGCTTGTGACGGTGGAGAAGAGAAAAATAATTCTCCTCTATTTAGTGCTCATGTCAACAATGTGTGGGGCTTTATCGTCACTATTCCATACGACTTAACAACAAAGATCATGGACAATTACTGTCTGACACGGTTTCTCTGGCTGATATTATGAAGCAGACAATTTCTTTATGCTGCATGAAACACTCAAGTTAAGTAGGTGTCTTGTCACTATGGTTTGGCTCGTCCTTAGGTTGCGGATGGAGGAGACGGTCTCCAGATATTTAGGGTAGCTGCGAATATATTGAAGAAGCAGACGCGGACAGCCGACGAGGGGCTGTCCTCCAGCTTGGGGATCGGACGTGGGGCTAACAATTCATGACTGTAAAAAAACCTTGTTACGAAATGTCACTAACGTCTTCAGGCTTGGACGAATTCTTTGGGAAAACGTCAATAAAGCATATATGATATTGTGGGAAAGCCAGAAGAAAAGAGGCCACTAGGAAGACCAAGATGTAAGTGGGAGAATAATATTAAATTGGATCTTAGAGAGATAGGATGTGGCGGTAGGGACTGGAGTAATTTATTCAGGATAAGGACCAGTGGAGGGCTCTTTGGAACATGGTAATGAACCTTCGGGTTCCATAAAATGTTGGGAAATTCTTGAGTAGCTGCACAACTGGCGGCTTATCAAGAAGGGCTCAGGAGTTAGTAGGAAAGAAGCCTGTAAAATGCTTGAAAGTACAGTACGAAAGTCTGTTTGTTAGGCACAGAGGCAAACGGACACGCTCAAGTGACAGTGAACTCCTGCACCTATTGTACAATTTGTGTTTGTCAAACAGGGTCTTTGCTTCAGGTCAGACGGACAAACACAGGGACAGTGAAGGTCTGTACTTGATGTACAAAGTGATGCTACTGGTGTGGATCGTGTTCGGTCTGGGATACCTCGTTATGATCTTGGGCTTTATCACGCGCGCAATGCGGTCCAAGAAAGTGGCACAACTGGAACGAAAACTCGCCACCAACCTGAGGCAGACGCATTCCAAGCTATGGAACACCTTCACTCGTGACGTCAGTTACCTGCGGCACGTCATCAACGAGATGTACGTCTTGACACTGAAGGTAACCAATTCATTGCCCTGATATAGTGTCACTTATTAAATGTAACCAAATTTGTACCTGAGGCTGAATTTTGCTGCTATTGCAGCCAATTTACAAAGATGAGGAAGAGATTGGGTTCACTATACGCACGCGCAGTAGCAGCGAGCCGATGCTGTACGATCTATCGTCGCATGATGACGAGATCATCCCCGGGTTCGGGGTGTGGAGGCTGCGCGCCAACTCGGAGGCGGCGGCCGCGGGCTCGAGACCGGTCCGCGTGATGTCCGAATCTGACCTGGAGCGAATCGACAAGGACGCAACGTTCAAGTCCGCCGCCGCCAAGATTCAACCGGGCGAGCTGCTAGCCCACATGGTTAACGCCCTAGGCGAGGAAGAGAACGGCTTGCATGGCTTCAGTGACACAGATATTCTCGCTAGCGAAGAACCTAACGCTACCTGGAATATTGGTGGGGAGGCTATCCCTAAACAGAGAAAGCGTGCGGCAAGCGAGGTTCGCATCCCTATGAAGGAGCAGCAAGACACCGCCGAGTGGACCTGGTCGGGCGATGAGGCGTCGCGACGCGTGCACGGTCTATTCCGGGCCGGGCTCAAGAGGTTAGCATTTCGTAACTGTGTGTGTGTGTGTGTGCGTGCTGTGACGTGTCACGTGACATGCAGCCAGCTGACGCTTCTTGCTCTCTCTCTTACAGTCTGGTGCCTTCTGAACACACGACTCGCAGGCCCTCCATATTCCAGCTGGCGGCGGCTAAAATCAAGCAGCCACTGAAGAAGCGCCACAAATCTAAGAGCATCGGCGACCTGTTCATTGCCCCGGAGAATCCTTCTGTCCCGTGTCCCCCCATGCATCCTGCTCTCGAAGAGACGTCACTTGCCGACTTCCTGCGTGCCGTCAGCTCGTTCCAGACGCGAGTGGCGACGCCCCCCGACTCGGCTCCGCCCCGACGCAAGGCAGGCACCGCCAGCATGACGCCACCTGGGTCACTAATGTCTCTATTCACACCCCATAACATAGACCGGCGTATGTCATTGCGTCCTATCCCGACGTCGCGGCTAAATTATGCTGCCTCTCGACGCGCGTCCCTGGCGTCTGTGTCCACGCCCCCACCTATGAACCGACGCATGTCGCTTCGCCCCGCCCCCTTATCGCGGTTACCCCCTACCTCTTCACGACGAGGGTCTCTCCATCCAGCGAACAGGCGCTTCTCCGTGCGTCCCGCAACAAGCACACTGCCGCCACCGTCCTCCCCGCCCCCGGCCCTGCACCTTATGGCACCGCACCTGTTTAAAAGACAGACGAGCGAATCGGGACACGTGAGCCGGAAGTGAACGTGACCAAGTGGCGAACCCATCTGGAGACACAAGTGCCTGCCCCGCCTCAGGGTTAGAACACGGCATTGAAGAGAACAACAAGACCGTATTTCGTCAGATTTTTTTTTGATCATGGAACTATTTTCGCCTCGAAAATTACTGCCCCCCCTCCCCGCCTGAAGGTATTGGCTAAAAGTGTGAAATATAGAACCAAGGCATGAGAGTGCAGGGCACAGCTTAAGTCATGCAGCGTGCTGTATGTCCGAGCGGATCTGCGTAGCGGCAACTTACACTAGAGTTGTATTAGAGATGTTCTCAATTCGGTCGGGGCACCAGGTACCCTGACTAAGCTTCTTTTGGCTTGTTTTGGACTTCATCCATCGTCTGGTATGTAAAAGACAAAAGACCACGACGTTTCGGAGACTGAATCTGTCTCCAAAACAAGCCAAAAGAAGTACAGTATACACCATCGTCAGAATCATTTCAAGTCTACCCTGACTAAGGTTTTAATTTGTTTTCCTCAGTCCCTTGAGACTGTTACCATGATAGTTCCTCGACCGCTTCTTTCTAAACCCTTTCCAATTTAACTATCATCCTACAACCGCTGCAACATAATTTAGATACCGACAGAATTGTAAAATTACTTACTAAATCAATACAGTACGTTTTGTGCCTCACATTTCTCGTAGATGAGGTCCACTCTGAAAACACTTACGGTCTCTTTATAAAGCGTTGAATTATTACGCTCAAGGAGACTATACCTGAATTGGCATAGCTCATAACGCATTGCAGAAATCTCACTTTATAGAAAAACAGGAGTGACGGACAGCAGCTTGATGGAGTACAGTAATAAAGTGACCGCTTTCTGGTCCTGATGTTCGAAAAGATATTCATAAAACAGACATTCTCCTAATAAATATGATGGATCCGATGGCAGGATTATCCGAACGCTCATAATGAAACGGAATTAAATATTCTCAGACATTCTTTGCACAACAGGTTAAGCAAATGCTTCTGCGTTCCCATTTTATATTTTAGTTCCAAAGGTTCTCGACAATATTTCGAATTGCAAATTTGCACTGAACTTTGTGAGGCACTATGCTGCAAGCCGGAAGGTAGCTGGTTCGATTCCCGATGTGGTCATTGGATTTTTCAATTGACCTATCCCTTCCAACCGCATTGTTTCCCTGGGGTCGGCTCACCCTCTAAGAGAAGAGAGTAACAGGAATATTCCTTGGGGTAAAGGGTGGCCGGCCCTTAAGGCTGACAACCTCACCGTCATCTGTGAGCCGACTGCCTACAAAATGTGGGAGCCTCGACGTCTCACAACTATATGGGCCTCAACGACCTGTTACTGTTACTGTTACTGTCAGGTGAATTTAATTTTGTTTCTCTTTTCGCAGAATTTTTCACAGTTTTACACGGAACCCAAATTGAGTCCCATCAGTCACACAGAAAATTGGTAGATGGATTAAGATATTAGTGTTATTAAGATCTAAGAAATTTACTACTAGAAATTTTCGGCATAGAAAATAGTTAACAAAATAAATGGATAAATAATTTCTGTATAACTTATGTTCATTGTGACACTTGTAGGGTGATTAGCTTTGCAAAATCAAGTCAAATAATGTATGCAAAGTCACACAAAAGGCATTTATATAGTATATACATATATATACTCCATTGGATTACACTGTACATTGTTACATTACAATTGCCTTGCCAAAAAAAAAAAGCAACTTAGTCGTGTCAAGCGTCAGGCATTCAATTCAAAATAAGATGGTAATCAACCTTAACTCGGATAGGGCAGCATTATGGCTTAAACTCCAGAAGGATATGTCTACGAAAAAAAAGGGCCTTAAGAAAGAGGCAAATAAAGAAATGGTAATTTTTAACAGATTTTACAACAATGCCACAGTCAAAGATGTTGAATTTTCTGATAATGACATGTCTGAACGTGCTCCAGCACATGTCATTATAAAAGAAACTCCGTGGCCTGTAGTCCGCGAGCAAACTATATCGACCGAGCGACCGCCGCTGTCGGCGAAGTTAGTGCCAACTTTAGCGGATCTCGGTGTCTCGTGCCCAGCGCAACGGATCTCCACGGCCGTTAATTTCGGTTTTCTAGACCGGAGCCGCTGTTCCCTTGAAATAGCTTCTCGTTGACTCTCAATAGGCAAAGTGGACCCCGTTCCAGATCCACTACTTCTCAGAAAATCTGGTAGCGCCGGGAATCGAACTCGGGACCTCTGGATCTGTAGCCAGGAACTCTGACCACTAGACCACAAAGGCGGTCCATCAGCCCCTAAAATGATACTGTACTTGGCATGCATGAAGGTTTTACACAACCAAGGATTTCGTGTGTGAGTTTCATAGTATCGATAGGTCATGTTAGTTTTAACAAAAATTTGTTTTCCGAATGTCATTTGTGTGGGTTCGTCAGCAGCAAAAGGTATTTATGAATTATTTATCTATTTTTTTAGTTTATTATTTAGACTATTACATGACCTAAAGTTTGCAAACATTTTTAACACCTTGGATTAGAGGTCTTCTCATCAGTAATTTTGAAAAATGCCTGTGTGATGTGATGGAGCGTAGTATGGTAGAAGTCGGGGACGTTACTAAGGAACATACTGCCTCTATCTTCAGGGTCGAAGAGTAAGCGATCAAATAGCCGGCAAGAAGCCAGCAGAACGTCCTACTCCCTGCTCTTTTCTTGCTGGTTGTTTCCTTGTCTTTCAATTAAGCCCTGAAATGGAAGCATTACTGTCTCCCGAAATGTTAGCGAATTTCTAAGGGACTACATGGTTTTGTATCCCAGAAGATAGAACTTTTTAACACCACAAAGAATGGAATTTTACTCTTCTAATATTTGATTTAGAAACAGGCGCCTGCTATTTTTTTAGCCCAGACAACGTAGCGACCATAAATGCACTTCAACAGAAATTCTGTGAAAGGAAAGTGATTTGGCACGTGTTTCCATCCTCTTGTCACCAATGCCATTATTCCAAGCAGGGAAGAGATATTGGAGAGGTAGGCTTACTGGAGTGGTCATCTAATTTATCAGTGCTTGTTCTTTCCTGACCACTTTGCTGAGAGGAAACTTTTAAGAAAAATGTGTGAAGATCTTTTAAGGTCAGTTAAAACAAATAACACAAGAAAAGCTTTCTTTTGAAGTTTCATAGATAATTGTGACGAGTATTATATATTCAAATGTCATTATGAGGGGTACATCCATTGCACAATAATCGAGTTAAAAAGGTTTCCTAAGGATTTATGGAACTATGAGTATTTGGTCAATGCCAGTAATTGAAACGACACCATTAATTCTAACACAGCCCTGCAACACTGCTTAGGCTTACCACCTATTTAATATGGACTCACGGATCCAATGGGTCAAAAAATAACACTAGGCTTGTATTCAGGAGGTACGTTTTGAATGTCGACCAGGACACTGACTGTCCTGGCTTAGGTTTTTTGTAGTTTTCCTCGGCCCTTCCTGGCAAATATTGGGGTAATGCACCTTCCTTTCAAATCGTTTAAAATTTTGTATTAATTTTTCATCCTACCATACTGATCTTAATTCCAAGTGAAATGGCTTTAGAATGGACTAATAGAGTGGAGAATTCTTGTGCATTAAATATTAGCTATCTTTATAGAGTGCATTCCTGTTGCGTATTTGCAAACTATTCTATTAGGCTTGTTCCATCTAATGTGACTCAAATAATGTATATCAGTGACAACAGCGATAAAAAGAAAGTGTCTATATACATATTAAATATCACAATATGTTTATAGTATAGAGATTTGAATCTTTCTATACATTCTTATCAAAATTGTTCCCTTCCGAATCACAATAAATAAACAGCCTTTATTGTCCAAGTTTTGTTTTTAATGTGATGTAACAAGATATATATGATGAATATTAGTTATTGAATTGAATTGAATTGAATTNAAACTTTTTAGTATCATTGCCCAAGTTTTTAATACTTTGTGGCAGATTGTTGAACACTTTTATGCCAGTAAAGTAGACTCCTTTTTGATATACTGATAAAGTTGATGAGGGTAGGTGGAAGTTATATTTTTGTCTAGTATTCATGTTATAGACATCAGAATTTAATTTGAATTTATCTTTGTTGCAAACAACAAATAGGAGAAGCGATAATATGTATTGCGATTGAAGCGGTAGAATTTTTAATTTCTTAAATAATTCTCTACATGAATCTCTACTTCTACATCCTGTAATAATTCTTATTATAATCTTATTATCAATCTGTGGTAGGCAAATTTAAAAACACCATTACTAATCCCAAATTGTGGGTCTGCTTATAAATACAATTGTTTATTCCAGTTACTTTTAGCCTCTGACTCATAGTTCAAGTAATAAATTATATGGGCAAATTTGAAGTTACAAATTCAATAATTTAAATTAATTTCCATGGAATGTGTTAGTATACCCAAGTATTTTTATTCTCTGCCATTATTTATTATACATCATGGTTTAGAAAGTAAAATACAGACATCCATATTTCTTAGTGCTCTACATGTCTAATAATTCAAAATGTTATTATTCTGGAACACTGGTGAAAAGAAACACTTTTATTCATTTCTCTTTTCCTCTTACTTACATTCAGAGTCACATAAACAGTAAACCACTTACAGGATGGTGAATGTAAAGCACTATCTGAAGAAATGTCCATGAATTTGAAGCCATATCATGTGTTTGGGGATTTTTGCTTACCTGGAGCTTGTATGTGTTCAATGCATTTCAAATCTTGATGCATTTTGGATGTAACGTAAAAAGACATGAGTTGGACTGTCAGTACCTGTAAGAGAATTAGTACCTCTGTGTGGGCAATGTACAGTGGACTAGATAACATATGCAGGAGCAAATGTGATAAATATGAATAAATTATATTTCTCTTGAACATGTATGAGAGTCATTAAAGAATGAACATACCCTTAACTTACATATATTAAAAACCAATGTATGGTTTATATTATGCCTAAATACTCACAGTTTGGTCTCTCAGCTTAATTTATTTATATATAAATTACATTCATTTGTTGTAATACATGTTGTAATTTACGTAAGATATAATTTAGTAAATAACTGTAGAATAGATACTTTCTTTTCACTCATATTAAATCATTCAACTAAGGCATTAACAAATCCTACAAAATAAATTAATTACACAAGTCTCTCATTGTATACAATATTAAATACATCTGTACCATCCCCATTTTCCACAGACACTTGTCTACTTGGATGAATGGTGATATTCTTGTTATGATTTTAAATACCATGAGCAGATTCTGAAGGGTCAAGAAGACAAAACTTTATCCAACATCCTTTTTTTATGCTGTTTTATCATTTAAAACAAGAACGCACTTATATGGTTTTTAAATTCATTTGTTATGTATAGTTTATATCTGAGCAATATAATTTAAGAGCTCATCATTAAAACAATGATATTCAAGATTTTGTAGAGAGAGGATACCCAACGTAGATTGTGTAAAGAAGTAATACATCAATTTAGGTAAGGAAAACGTCCTGGAGTTGACACATATCAGATTCAGCTGACCCATAATTTCCGAGACACTAATGCCCATAACCCATACACAGTTCTTGGCTCAACCATCTCCTTAAGATTCATTGTGTATAAATTTTTTATTTCCTTTCTAAACTGCTTACTTATATTAAGTTTACCACACCCTCCTTGACAGCATTTTCTTAAAAGTGGAGACATTATGTTCCAAAAAAATATTCATGAACTTTTGCCAGAGTATACAGTGTCATATCCTAGAAAACAGCATGGTCACTGCTGCAGGAACCTCAAATCCAACAAATCCTAACAATATATAATGGCAGGAAGAAGATGTGTGGATGACCTGTAATAATGTGACAAGATCTACACCAATCAATACTTGCTAGAGAAATTCTTCACAAATCGTGGCTAGAGAAATTCTTCACAAATCGTGGTCACACTACAGTCAAGAATTCACTTAATTCATTGGGTGGAAACAAGTGGTTTATCACAACTTCAACTAAAATTTGGCCCATGTTAACAGAAGAAAACTTAATTATACGCTTTTTAAGGCTAAGGGAAATGTTATGATAGCTCAGTGGTCCTCATGTGCGCCGACCGGCTGTGTAGTGGCCGACAGCACAGAATGGATAAAGCATAAGTCTAATAAAATGTGATAGTTAAAGGTAAGGTAAAATTGTTCCCGTGCTTAACTAATTAAGCAGTGCGCCATGAAGGCATATGGGGGAGTGGCTGTATAGATCCACATTTTCTTGACCTCGGCACTAGTTGGTGGTGAGTGGTCAGCTTCACGCCCCGGCCGCTTTACCCCTCCGGTGACAGAGCCCCTGGTACCTATTGGATAGGATGTTGGGTGAACCCCAGAGCCGGTCTGGACGACTTGGAGAGGAGAAAAATATTTGACCCTACCGGGACTCGAATTCCAAACCTTCGGTCGTCCAGCCCTTAGGCAGTCTCTATACCGACTCCGTTATCGTAATACACGATGATTATGATATTAATAATTACAGACTGAGGTAACGACGCCGGACAGGATATTACGTAGTTTCAAGGTAAAGTGCAGATGGCAAAACTAACACATCGTTAGTAAACGTTTCCGTTCATTCATACATTCACACGGCCTTGAGTGGCTCGTCCGTATCGTCCGGTATTGCCTGTATCGTCTGTTCCGTCTGGTCTGTACGTCCGTATTCTGGTTATTAGCTTGAGGTATGGCAGTGGCCAGAATTAGTGTACAGAATTATCGATGCATTTCAACGTCTGTGGTATGTTGTGGTAAGAGGAACTTTAGAAAATTTCTTTTGTACAACAAACGTGGGACGAAGCTATTTAAAGAAAGACAGATGACAAAGGACCGGGATCCAGAGCTATTTCACGGTTTGTAGTAATAAGATGAGTGTAGAAATGTATAAAGACTGTTCGAGTTTTATTTTGGAGTGTTATGGCATACGTGTATTAATTGTTTCAGACCTGGGAGTGAGACCTGTTGGATATCATGTAGGGGACACATTCGTTAAAGTGCCCGAGATGATCCCAGAATTGATTGTACCAGATTTAACAGGCTTTAAGGTAATCGAGCCTGCAAGTTCATTTTGAGGTTATGTTCAGAATTACAATTCTAATGAACTTTGTGCACACAGCAGAGATGTGTTCTCAGATTCTCCACCGTCTCCAGCTTGTCGGCGTACCACACTTGCATTCATCGTTTTTAATTTGAAATATTAACACAGATCAAGGCTATAGACGTAGAATCATTGAAAAGACCTCTTACTCAGAGCACATATTCTTTTATATTTAAAAACAATTAAGACGCTAGCATGAAGATACCACTGTTTCAAATACAAGTGAAAATGTAGGAATCTGATAGTGTTTCCCACTCTTGCATGCTCCTTCCCTTTTCACCCCTTCACTCTCTACATTCCTTTCAGCACTTAACTTACACTCCCCCCCCCCCCCCACCCCCCCCNATGGAAGCCTCTCTTCTACTCCTAGAAAGCTTCCTTCATATAATATTCTATGGTTTGATTCTTGAGCTTGGCCATTATGTCAGGTGAACAGTACCATATTCAGGCCATTTTTTCTTATTCTTTCCTCCCACTCACTATTTTATTTTTTCTCTTCTGTTTCTCCATTTTCTCCCTTGGATTGTGTCATCTGAGTCAGACTGTATTCATACCTTATTTGTTCTCCCATTGACTGCCCTAGAGGTGTGGCCCTTTGAAGGGCTGCTTTTATTTACTGTGTTTTTGCCTGCTTCCCTGTAACTCCTGTTGGTCCACTCAGAGTCACCATTTTTCTCATTCACCATGTCCTTGGAAATGGCCCTTCAGATAGCTAATATTCCGTACTCTTAGAGGAAGGCTGTAACCATCTGTTGATTCATTCTCCAGAATGTTGGTATCTTTCTACCACACTACATTGCATCATATCCCAGAAGACAATACAATTCATAGTCATTGCCTTTGGAACCCTAAATCTCACATAACCTAATCCAGTCCTTAACTTAGTCAAACAGGTTATATGTCACTGTTGGTGATAAATGAAAGAAGAATGTGATAATTAATCAGTATCCTGTCTACAGAAATTCATAAAGTTATAAATTAAATATTGAGGTATTTTAAATTATTGTGAGAATCTGACTTTTATTGTGGCACACATGCCTTACTGTTAGTATGGCATCTTGTGTCTGTAATCTCAAAGGTCATGGAATGTGTCGGTGTAAGTGTCGGATGTTCGAAACCCTCAGTGTGTAGATGATGATGACGACCTTTCCAACAGGGGATTCACATTTATGTCCATCTCACTCTGTCTTTCTGAATTTGTAACAGTGTGTCTGATATGTAATCCAGAACCATGTGAAGTTGGGCACAACTGAGTAGGCTTTTACCTGGTGTTGGAGACGAGTGTAGTCTTTGAAATGTTTTTAAATAAAAACAGGAAGACCGATAATGTCCAAGAGGTCAATAACTGTATTGAATGCAAAACCAGTTAGACAGAATGAGAATATGTGAGGTCTAATCCTGCAGAACCCTACATTGACAGTGATTACTTTTAATCTGATGGTGCACATCACTGTGGTAAGCTATGGGACATGGTTTCTTCTAATATTCCAGTGGGGTTTTCATAGCATGCTGTATTTTCAGGTAATGATATGTGCCTTAGCAACAGCTGTACCATGATGAATGGCCACAGGACATAAAGTAATAACCCAATATTGTGGCTGTGACAGGCATTAAACACTGTAATGCATGAAAGAGAGTGGTAGAAAAAATAGCAGAATACAAACAATGAATAAAATGAACACTAAAATATGAAATATGCAGTATTCATAAATATTGTTCTCTCTGAGGGTGTTTTTTTTAATCATCCGACACTCTAAATTTTGTATAACTTCTTATTAAATGCAGTTGTATGAAAGTTTCACAGATCATTGGGAAATTTGTTTGTCAGTATTGGCAACACTGAACTTAATGATTGGATGGCATCGTATATGATGAATCAGTAAGTGTTTGTTATGAAAACATTTTACTCTTCTGGTGATTCTTGTGTACCTTTAACTACAATTTGGAGTAACTCTTTTACTGAGACATGACACTGGTCTGTGTTACAGCTGAAGCCATATGTGTCGTATCGAACACCTGATGTGGTGCAGTCAGAATTTACACCTAAAGATCTGTTTAATGCAGTATACAGTGAGAAAGTTGTCAATGACTTCAAGAATGGAAAACTTACCGAGACTGGAGAGCCTTTAGAACCCAGTCCAGAGGAGCAGCTCACACCTGAAGAAGCTTATGTTCAAGCTAGGAAAACTGGAACAGATATCTTCTAGGTGGTACTGTGTGTGCAGCGCGTGTATGTCAGCAGCAGAAGAGACACTGTTGCAATAAAAGTTGTATACTTTCACAAATTAAGTTCAGTTTCTTGCAGCTTGTGTTTTTACCTCTGCTGTATTTTATGGTTGAAAGTGAAAACCAAGTGAAATGCAGACTTACGTATTATATTAGGTTGCGCCATAGCTCAAGCGGTTAGTCACTCGCTTCCCACCGCAGTGGCCTGGGTTCGATCCCGGGTCTGGTCAAGTGGGATTTGTGGTGGACAAAGTGGCGCTGGGGCAGGTTTTCTCTGAGTACTTCGGTTTCCCCTGTCAATCTTCATTTCACCAATTGCTCCACAATCACCCTCACCTATCATCTGGGGCTGGTACAATAAGCCAGAAGTGGCCGCAGTACAAGGGACTCAGTCCCACCCCACTAGCAATAAAGAAAACATATTATATTAGTTAAATTTATTTTTATTTCCTTCATCAATAAATTGAGGTATATAAGAAGAAGTTGTGGGAAGAACTAATTGTCTGCTCTCCTTGATACAACAGAGACCGCATAAAAAAATGACATGTCCAACAAATCTTGTATTGCATGTGTATGTGTCAGTGCAGTAACATGTTTACTGAGTGGTTGCCTATCAATGATGGGGATTTTTAGCTAGTCTAGCAATAAGGGGATGTGCATATAGGCACACAGACTGATTGGATTTATGAAGTACACCTTTGAGGTGGGCTCAGGTGCCATAATTTATATACCACGTTCCATAAACATTGGTTCACCCATTCTAAAGTTCATGAAGGGGGATACTTATACACACAGACTGCATGTAGACTGCATAAGCCTACTGTTATTTCTTCATAATAAGGAAAGTAGGCTAAAATAATCATACTAGATCTATGTGAGAATCATGCAGCTGCTTGAAATATGAAGCGGTGTTATGACGATAAATGAAAATTTAACATGTACATTGCTTAAAATTGACCTAAGTTATTCATTGGTAAGGCTCTAATATTGTTGAAGAGTTTTACTGCACATTTAATATTGTTTCCAGCATTGACTTCAGTTGATTTAGTACACCTCTCCATTTGCTTTTAATAAAATCATATTAGATAGCATGACCTGTGAATAGAGGTTCATAGGTGGGTCATTCAGATCAGTAGATATTACCAGCTGCCTTCTATTTTTCACCCCTTCAGTTTTCCCTTTTTCCATTCTTATATTTATGATTGACATGTTTTTAGTCTGTGATATTTAGGCAGCTCACTGTGACAGCTGCATGAGGTCACAACTAACCTCTGGTGCAAAGCATCACCTTCGTTTGCATTTGTGGATTCCACCAAAGCAAATAATAGCAGTGAAAAGATTAGGAGCACTGACAGAGGAAAAATTTTCATAAATTATGAACACACAATGGTTTGGATTTTATGTCGGAAACAAGTATATTGGAATGACGTTAGAAAACAATGGAGAAGATATTTTAGAATTATCTGATGGCTTGGGTAACAGGGTGTTAAGAATAATTGGGCTGAAGAGGAATAAAGTGACAGGAGGTTGGAGAAAACTGCATAATGAGGAGCTACATAACTTTTACTCTTTGCCAAGTATAATTAAAATGATCAAGTCAAGGAGGATAAGATGGGCAGGGCATGTAGCACAAATATGGAGGAGAGGAATGCATATAGGAAATTGGTGGCAAAGCCAGATGGAAGGAGACCACTGGGAAGATCAAGGCATAGGTGAGTGAAGAGTATTAAAATGGATATTAGAGAGGATGGGATGGATTGGATTGATCTGGCTCAGGATAGGGACCAGAGGAGGGCTCTTGTGAACACAGTAATGAACATTCAGGTTCCTTAAAATTCTGGGAAGTTCTTGAATAGCTGCAAAATTGGCAGCTTCTCAAGAAGGGTTCATCTCCATGAGTGAGTGAAATGGCTTGGTTCAGTATTTCATGAATCTGTTCATCATCAATCCAGTTCATCGTTAACATTTCAAGACTTCTGCAACTTGACTAAGTTAACATTTTATAATAGGTAATGGTTAACAAAACCAATTTGCATGCTTGAAAGCAAATTGCAGTAGTGGTCTGAAACTGGCTGCTTAACATCAATGTAGTGCAGATCATTGTTGGCCGATTACATTACCACTTTTACCAGGACAGTTACTAAGACAATGCCAAACTTTTCATAACTTTTCTCAGTCTAGCTAGGCAAGTACTAGTGTAATATATCATTATGCCAAATTTTGAGCCATTTTCAAGAAAATCACCATTTTATATTTCAGGGACTAGCCAAAGGGCTAGCATCTGAACATTGAGCATCAGTGTTCAGATTCACCAATCACTGACGTATGATGGATAAAATTGAATGCTGAATATGAATAAAATACTTTCTCATATCACCTATATGTAAAAGTAAAAAAGTAAAACTATCCCTGTACCAGGCCGTGAAGGCCCATAGGGTTGTGAGACATTGAGGGTCCCACACTATATAGACAATTGGCTCAAAGATGGCAGTAGGGTTGTCAGCCTTGCGCGCCGGCTGTGCTGTACTCCCCAGGAAAATTATTTAATTCCTGGTACTCTTTTTCTGAAGAAGTAAAAATAATCCTTATAACATTGAATATAATTATCTTCTATAAAAATAGTAGGGTTTTGAATCATCTGAATTTATTGTAGTCAGAATAGCAAGATACATGTTGAGTTACATGCATACCTTCAAAATACTGTAGTGAGAAAGTAATTTATAGTGCATGATAAGAGTTCTGGTTAGAGCAATTTGACAGAAGTTTGACTGTCAGAATACCAAATAATANTTTTTTTTTTTTAAATTTAGAAACTTGCAAATATTTCTGATGTAAAAGAGTGGTTTGTTGAGTTTGTGTACGTAAGTTTGAACTGAATAGTTGTATGGAAGTCTATTTTTTATCTGTATCACAACACATCTGTACCCTTGTTATCCTAAAAACTTGATTACCAGATAATAGAAGATAACTTTAGGGCACACAGGAATGACATCTTTGAGTTCATTATTGCTGGGAAACCTCTTTTCATAAACAAATTTCTTCAGGGATCTGAATTGATAGTAATTGCGTGGAACGAGGACAGGCCTGTAAGGATGAATGATTGAGCACCTGAATGTACCAGTCTTATGCAAAAGATTCTACTTGTCACCTTATCACTGCATGTTTATATTTGTTGCTGTCGTGAACAAGCATTATAATGCTTGCAGAGATTTTGTTAGTACTTGTTAACATGTGTGGTTTAATTCTTGAGAAACAAAGTTTCTCATGTTTGCCTCCTGTTTTAATTTTTAAGCCTGTACTGAAGACACTAGAGCCAGGATAGTGTAGTAGGTATAGTAACTGGATATGGGTTAGACAACCGAGGGTTTGGAGTTCAAGTCTCATTAGGTTCAAGCCCACCCGGTCTCCTATCGAATGGGAACTTGGGACTCTTTCCCCAAGGGTAAAGTGACAAGGGCATGAAGCTAACCACTCACCTCCAACTACTGCGGAGGTTAAGAAAATGTGGATCTATGCATCCACTCCCTCCTTATGCCTTCATGGCATAGTGATTAATTAGTTAAGAACAGGGACAACTTTACGTTGCTGAAGACAGAGAAAGAGAAATTTAAATCTATCATGTTTCCATTTTCACATTGAGGTTGGTGAGATTGTATTGCGGATTGCTATAGAATACACTGATCCCTGAATAGATAAAGTGGCAAGCTGTTTGACAGGAAATATTCGTGGGAATAAATTAACTTGTTGACGAAAATCAGCAGTGCTTACAAAAAATCAACGTTGATGGACGATTTTATCTCGATACCTGATCAGGAACGTTATAAATTATTTTGCGCGCAGTAGTTAACCACGTTACTGACTTAGCAATCGCTACATGTGATATCACTTCGTTACTTTTCCAACAGTGATAGATGGCAGAACGTACGTATTAGCTGCAGGCCAAGAAACTTGAAAGAACCGCTCCCGGGGCGGGGGCCAGGCTTCCTGAATTCCTGAAGCGGTCTGCTGTTTGGAGAAGTCCAAGGGCTCTTGATGTGGCGGTGATCACAATACACCAGTCATATCATATTTGTCAGAACCAATCACAGAGCCCGTAACATAATATTCCATTTGTTACGTTCGGTTCCGTTGGAGTTAGATTGTGGTCAGTTATATGCGGTTATATACATTGTGTGATATGGTAGGTGGTTTTCTTTTGCTATAGAGAAGTGTTCAGGGGGTAATTTGGCCTCAGATGGGGATTTTGTTAACGTAATACTCCAGCAGCTTTACCCCAGGGGAATTAGCTCGGCTGTTATAGCTCTCTCGCTGTCAAACTGCCTAAGGTTCAGGCTTCAGCAGGGCATCGTGAGTAGTAATGAATGATTTATGTTTACTTAAATCATTTTGAAAGCGGGTTTCCTTATGCAGACCATTACGGGATTGAGACATAATGTTAGTAGCCTGTATTTGTATGAGGAATCAACATTTATACTGAAACAGAAAATGTATATAAGGGAAATAATTGAACGGAGCTGAAGCGTGTGACAGTGTCTGTACCGTGTACCCCACCATAATATAAATATGTAATTGTTAATGATTCTGTATTTCAGTATCCCGTTGCAATTGTTCAACTTAACGTTCGTCAACATTGCAACACCCATCCATTCACCACTCAATCTTTTAGTTCAACATTATACACCCTGACACTAGATGTTTCGGCCACAAACGGCCATCTTCAGGTGTCTTGATATGTTACAATTATCTTATTAAATTGTGTTAAAACTGCTACCATGTCTTAGTTCGTGTTAAAATCACACGCTGTAGGCCTCTTTTTAAGGTAAAACCAGATAAAATCCTTTAAAGTTTCTATTATACTCACGTTATTTTGGTGCATATTATTTCACTTCACATGGGGCGGCGTCCGTTTTCATAAATGTATCTCTGTAAAGACAACACCACATGCTGTGGAGGAAACATGCAAACCAGGGGCATACGGCAGTCATAACTGAAAAGTAGGCTACGAACGTGAGTGGCAAGCTGCCGAGACAAAACACCCTGGACCCCCTGGACAGACATACATTTATGAAAATGGACGACACCCCATGTGAGGTGAAATAATATGCACCAAAATAACGTAGATATAATAGAAACTTTAAAGGATTTTATCTGGTTTTACCTACAGCGTGTGATTTTAACATGAACTAAGACAGTGTAGCAGTTTTAACACAATTTAATAAAATAACTGTAACATATCAAGACACCTGAAGCTGGCCATTTGGGGCCGAAATATGTAGTGTCAGGATGTATAATGTTGAACTAAAAGATTGAGTGGTGAATGGAAGAGTGTTGCAATATTGATGGACAATAAATAATGCACGTTAAATATAATTGTTAAGTAACATTGTCAGTAAATTATCTCTCTTTATTTCTAGCATGAAGAATTTGCAAGGAATAATGGTGGCTTGAAGTATGGATGGTGAGAAATATAAACCTCTGGCAGTCCTTCCACTGGAAAGTGTTATTTCTACTATTCAAAAATGTTACCTACCAAGTTTTTGTTCAGAAATATTAAAGAAATGTAAAGTTGGAAGTTGTATTCTTCTACGGATATCATCAACTACCAAATGTTTGTGTAAACTGTACTGGAAAAGTGACCTACACAATGCATTCTGTCAGATAGATGAAAGTGTTTTGACTTTTAGTGGGGATGAGAGAATGTTAATGGGCTTACCTCGGCAAACAGTTAATCGGACATACAAGGAATTGTCATTGGAACAGATTCAAGTTCTTTCTTCGTGTGTTGATATCAGAGATTTACATTTATCAGTAGTCTTTGAAAATGTAAGTGATAATAAGAGATGGCAGGAGTATATTGATACTCTTCAGGACATTGTAAAGGACATACTGAAGTTGTACATACTGGTTAAGGATTCCATAGTGTACACAAAGAATTTGAATCAGTGGCAGAAGTTTGGAATTTATTGCATTGTGATTCATGACATAGGTGTGTTAAAGACTGTGGATGCCTCAACCATTGGGAGAGTTGTATCTGGCACACAAGTTTCTGTGGTTCACCAGCTGAGTAGAGTGTGGTTTGAGCAGCTTCAGAATCCTGGTCCTGGGACTCCTCTTGGTGGACTTGATGGCCCATATCAGACCCTTCAAGAGATTATGTGTCAGCATAAATTGTATCAACAGGCTGCTTGGAAACTGGGACTCAGACCTTGCCGTCAGGTAACACGTGAAATTAGTTAATTATCTAGATTAGCAACGTCTGAGGGATCCGAATTTATTGACCAACTTGTTGGCTTGAACCTGAATTTTGAAAACAATCTATTTATTTGAATGAACTGAAACTTGGCTTAAATGTGCTTGAATTATCATTTTTATCTGCCAAGACTTAGCTAGCCATGTTAGGTGGGTCCCTGTCACCACGGCATGGCGCGTCCTCAGGTTGCGGATGGAGGAGATGCCCTCCAGTTTTGGAGGGGAGCTGTGAGTATATTGAATAAGCAGTCGCGGACAGCCGACAAGGGATGGCCCTCCAGCTTTAGGGTTGGGCGTGGGGCTAACAATTCCTCACCGTAAAAAATCAGTATGTTACGAAAATGAACACAAAGCCTCGGACCTGGACTGATTCCTTGGATAAACGACCTAAGCTAATGAAAATGGATATGAGATTTGGCACTTGGAATGTACAAAGTTTGTATAGGGCAGGTTCGCTCAGGGAAGTGGCAGAAGAAATCTTAAAATATAAGTTAGATTTAGCAGGAGTACAGGAGGTCAGATGGGATGGAGGTGGCATCGCACCAGCAGGAGACTATACATTTTTCTATGGGAAGAGGAATGAAAATCATGAATTAGGTACAGGTTTTTTCATACACAAGAGAATCGTATCAGCAGTTAAGAGGGTAGAATTCATTAGTGATAGGATATCATATATAATACTAAAAGGTCGCTGGTGTGATATCATTGTTATGAATGTTCATGCCCCAACAGAAGATAAAATTGATGGCATAAAGGATAGATTGTATGAAGAACTAGAACATGTATTTGATAAATTCCCAAAGTACCCTATGAAAATTTTGTTAGGCGATTTCAATGCCAAAGTAGGGAGGAAAGGCATTTTCAAACCAACAATTTGAAATGAGAGTTTGCATGAAATTAGTAATGATAATGGAGTTAGAGTAGTAAACTTTGCCATATCAAAAAATCTTATTGTCAAAAGTACAATGTTCCCACATTGTAACATCCATAAATTTACTTGGACATCTCCTGATGGGAAGATACACAATCAAATAGACCATATTTTGATAAATAGGAGATGGCACTCAAGTATACTTGATGTCCGATCATTCAAGGCAGCAGATTGTGATACTGACCACTGCCTGGTGGTGGCAAAGGTTAGAGAAAACTGGCAGTGAGCAAACAAACAACACACAGAGTTCATATGGAGAGGTTCAATCTCAAGAAATTAAATGAGGTAGAAGGTAAAGAGCAGTATCGTGTTGAAATCTCCAATAGGTTTGCGGCTTTGGAAAACTTGGACACTGAGGTGGATGTTAATAAAACTTGGGAAACTATTAGAGAGAATATAAAAATGTCTGCCAAAGAGAGTGTAGGTTATTATGAACCGAAGAAGCATAAGCCATGGTTCGATGAAGGATGCTCAAAATTATTAGATCAAAGAAAGCAGGCCAAATTGCAATGGTTATAGGATCCAAGCGAGTTAAATGGGGATAATCTAAACAATATAAGACGTGAAACCAGCAGGCATTTCAGGAACAAAAAGAGGGAATATCTGAAAGACAAAATTGATGATCTTGTAATGAACAGTAAGAACAAGAATATTAGAGACCTGTATAGATGAATAAATGACTTTAAGAGGGGTTACCAGTCTAGCAGTAACTTAGTGAAGGATGAGAATGGTGATCTACTTGCAGATTCCCACAACATTTTGAATAGGTGGAGGAACTACTTCTCTCAGTTATTGAATGTACATAGGGTCAGTGCTGTTAGGCAAACAGAAATCCATACAGCTGAGTCGTTAGTACCTGATCCTAGTCCTTTTGAGGTTGAAAGTGCTGTTGCAAAATTGAAACTGTATAAATTGCCAGGAAGTGATCAAATCCCGGCAGAATTTATTCAAGCAGGAGGCAAAATGTTATGTTCTAAGATTCAAAATCTAATTACTTCCGTTTGGCATAAGGAAAAATTGCCTGATCAGTGGAAGCAGTCTATTATTGTACCAGTTCACAAGAAGGGTGATAAAAGTGACTGTAGTAATTATCGGGGGATATCACTGCTATCAACTTCATATAAAATTTTGTCCAATAGTCTTCTTCCAAGGTTAAGTCCATATATAGATGAAATTATTAGGGATCATCAGTGTGGGTTTCGACGTAGCAGATCAACTACAGATCAGATCTTTTGCATTCGTCAGATATTGGAGAAAAAATGGGAGTACGATGAGACAGTAGACCAGCTATTCATAGACTTCAAGAAAGCTTGTGATTCAGTTAGGAGGGAAGTATTGTACAATATTCTGATAGAGTTTGCGATACCCATGAAACTAGTTAGGTTGATTAAAATGTGTTTAAATGAAACGTATAGTAAAGTCCCCGTAGGTAAACATTTGTCTGATAAATTTCCTATCCAGAATGCTCTAAAACAAGGAGATGCTTTATCGTCACTCCTTTTCGACTTTGCCTTAGAATATGCAATTAGGAAGGTCCAGGGGAACCATGTGGGACTGAAACTAAACAGGACACATCAGCTGTTGGTCTACGCCGATGATGTGAATCTACTGGGTGATAATGTAGATACCATAAAGAAAAACACACAGTCTTTAATTGACACAAGTAAAGAGGTTGGTCTAGAAGTAAGCACAGAGAAAAATAAGTATATGTTACTGTCTCATCACCAAAATGCAGGGCAAAATCATGACATAAAGATAGGAAACAGATGTTTTGAAAATGTGGCACTTTTCAGATATTTTGGAACAATGATAACAGATCAAAACCTGATTCAGGAGGAAATTAAGAGGCGACTGAACTCGGGTAATGCTTGCTACCATTCAGTCCAGAACCTTTTGTCTTCTCGTCTGTTGTCCAAAAACATAAAAATTAAAATATACAAAACTATAATTTTGCCTGTGGTTCTGTATGCGTGTGAAACTTGGTGTCTGACATTAAGGGAGG